CCCCCCTCCCAACCTCCTTTCTCTTCGTTTCAGTACTTCTTGCTGTCGTATTGGGTGTATCCCTGGCCGCCCCAAGCCCTGATGTTTGCTCCAACATCAACGCTACGACTATTAAGTGTATGACGGACAATGGATTTCCTCAGCAAGAAGCGCTCTCTCTGCAGAAGGCTGCCTTGAACGGAAACCTTGCAGCAATGGTGAAACAATCTATTCTTCTTTTTTTTTAATTTTAACAAGCCTTTTTAATTATAACTATGGCAGGATTTTTGGCTGGAGGGTGGCAGTTGTTGTTTCCTTTTCTGGTACATTTTCTGTTTATAAAAGATTTTACATTTGAAGAGCTTGATTTGTGACATTCTGGCCCGGAAAGGGCTTGGAGGTGATTTTTATTTTTCAAAGGGAGGGAGGATTGACTTCAACTAATTTCGAGGAGAACTTAAGAATCTAAGGGATAAATTTATCTTATAATGTCGCCATTTGAATTGGCTGTAATGTGCCAAAATGGTAGCTTTTTCCCATCTATAAAAGAAAAATCTGGCTGACCCTGACTAAAAAAAAAGGATGAACACGACTGTCAGTTTGCTTTGTGTATTATTATTAAACACAATGGTATCCCTCGAGACGTAGAATTCTCAGTTCACTCCATTAGTGTCGATCTCGCTTGAGTTGATCTTCGGTTAAGTTGACCTTTTTCTTAGGCCCCGGTACCACTTCATTTTACAGGTATTTACTAAAAGTTAAGCCAACTCTATCCGTACGCCCTAGGGTCATTTTGTACCCCCGGGATTGCATTCTTCACATTTTAGAATACTTCTAGTACGAAGATATCTTTGAAACTTTCTGTTTTTCTCAAAAAATCATGTTGACAGACTGCTGTGCAAAGCGTACTGATCAGATTACCGAGTAATTTTCCTCTTTGGAAAGTGGTGGCACAGGGTTCCCCACGTCGTATTAGATACGATAGTAAAACACGAAGTACGAATGAGTTTACCATTTTTCACTCCCCCAACGGCACCAACTCACAACTATCCGAGTGTATTTTGTTCATGTATGTGGCGTCGGTGGCCTAGTGGTTAGGCTCTCGGACTCGCAACCGTAGGGTCGTGGGTTCGAATCCTGTCAGGGACTCGACGTTGTGTCCTTGGGAACGGCACTTTACGGGAATGGGTACCCAGCTATAGACAGTGAAAGATCTTGTCAGTTTGTTAGTGTTTGAGCGCTTAATCAGCTGCTTGCACTGTATGCTTCCCGGGAAGCTGAGAATGTTTCTGAGTGTTTTATTTTCTGCTGGGGTAATAATATAGTGTAAAGCGTATAGAGCTTGATGTCGAGCGGGATTATGCGCTATACAAATGCTATTTATTATTATTATTACAAACCTTTAACTAATACCAAGACTTATAAAATATCTCATTATCTGCCCGGCAATTCCATGTGTCTGTCTTTTATTTTACTCCGTATAGAACCTGACCCGCTTCTGTGGCGATAAAAAAGATGGCTACCTGAAAGGTGTGGAGTGTTTAATGAACTCTGTGGCTGCGTGTATCCCATGGAGTGAGTATCGGATGAACTCTTCTTCTTCTTCGTCTTCTTCTTTTTCTTCTTCTTCGTCTTCTTCTTTTTCTTCTTCTTCGTCTTCTTCTTTTTCTTCTTCTTCGTCTTCTTCTT